CTGAACCAATACAGCACTGATACATGAAACAGAATTTCTAAGTTCCAAATGTGGAATATCTTCCTTATAGGTGACGATATTCAAATTAAGAGATCTCTCAGGCTAAGTTTATGGAACCTCATGCTGGCAGCAAGAAAGGTCTCTCTAGCACCATGGTGTCCATAGCACTATGCTGGGTGTTAGCTGCTAGTTTGGAACAAAGGAAGCTGGCAGGTCTAATAATCCACTCCTCAATTTCTAGGAGAAATACCTAGTTCTTAAAACAAACAAAGCAAGTAAAATTATTCCACATGTACTTACCATCTACCAGGTCCGTCTGGAAGGAAAATCTTTAAGTATCCCTTAAAGGCATATCTGTTTTGAGATTTTACCTCTCACACAATATGAACTTCGCCTAGCCAAAGAAAGGCTCATAATAAACTGAACTTTCATGAAAGTTCATAATAAACTGTCACCGTTGAGAAGCTCTGAGCATCGAACATATTACTGAAGGCCCCAGCGTATCCCAGAAAACCTATTGGGATAAATCATCATGCGTTTTACCCACCAAACATAAAATGATCCCTTGCCTTAACAGAAATTGTTAGAACCAAATACTGATGCGAGAGAAAAACAGCACAGGAAAGAGAAAATTTACCTTCTTTTAAGCCTAAAATCCACATGGTATCCAAGGCATCAATTAGCGTAAGTCCAAGCCCAAACCACTCACTGTAGGATTTGGACAAAGGCTTCAGCTCATCATGTCCCCAAGCAAACTCTTTGTATCCTTTCCACGCATGGCGGAATGCTTCTATCACAGCCATCTGACGTTCATTTATGGGCACTGTGAATGGAAAACAATACCGTGCTCAGGAACCCTACAAGCCCGGAGTTATTCAGTTATGCAAGACCCCTCTCCACTGAGTTCTACCTGAAACCAGGAGTCCTCATCCCTGCAAATACAAGTCCCAGTATCCCAAGCTGCAATTATCTGAAACACAGTCCTTCATAGTGGGGTCCTGCCACCCTGCTGAGACATATACAGAGCTTTCGCATATGCAATGATCTCATCTCTCCAAATGCAACATTAAGATAGTTACTCAAAAATTGTATTAGAAAAACATTACTGAGGTTGCAAAGCCACACACTCAGAGTGGGAAATACCAGAACTATGGTTGCCTCCAAAACCAAAATTAGCCACCTTGTACATATGCTTAAGAACACAGTATTTAGTCACATGATCACATATTTTTTCCACAGGACCTCCACCGCAGTCATCCCTTGCTAAATTTTAAGTATAAAGCATGAGAGAGCACCTAAACTTTACGCAAAATAAACTTCTAATACGAGCAGAAACAACCTATTTTTCCCCTCGGCTGATTTTTTTAAACGGTTGACCTATTTCGGCTAAAAATTTCCACTAAAAATTCTTTCAAGACAGATACCTGGCATGGAAAGTTACATTCCAAAAGAACTGAAGTCTGGCAGAGTTATAAGCAAATCAAAACTGGGTCTTATCTTGTGCAAGCATCAAGCAACAGGCTGTGCTACCAGACCTCATGTATAGAAATGCACTCACACACCTGGGTAGCAAAACATTGCATGGCATTATGCAGAAAACCCAAGCTTTGGAATAAACATGAGCTCCCTCCCACTAGCTTGGAGAACAGATTCCCAGATTCTTTGCTGCAAAAGGAAAACAAATTAAATGACAGTTGCAGCAGCTGCCAATTTCCTAGTAATCATCAAACAGCCTGTGATTAATTAATGAAGAAAGTCACTTTCCCCTGGTCTCCAAGGCTGCACTAAACTGTAGCTTGGAAAGGAAACTGTGCTTTTCAAGCCATCATTCTGAATAGCTATTCCTCCTTTGGGGAGGGGTCGAATGAAACAGAGATAGTTGGCCATCATGCCTCTCTTCAGCAACATTTCCATTTTTCTTAGGAAGGAAAAAAAGAATCAAACCAAGAGGTGGGGCATGTGCCATGTTTAAACAAAGAGGAGAGAGGAGATTGTGCACCATGGCATGCACACAGTAAGGAAACTAGAAGAAAATGTTAACAAAACAGCTTCACGGAAGGGAAACACACACATTGCAGACTCGAAGACGGGAATCTGCAGTTCTTTCCTTAAGGCTAATCAGAGTTTAAATTTACTCAATTTTAATAAAACAATTTTCTGTTTATAGGCAATTGTAGTTTGGTTTTGCTACTGAAATTATACTGTCTTTATATGCACCATCAAGGACAGGGTTAGGGTACAGATGTATATGAGAAATACACCATCAAAAAGAAACATGAATACTTTGGGAGTAGCAAATAGCACAGAGGCTGCAACCACAGCATTCAATCTCTTGGTATCTGATCTGGCAGTTAAAGCCAGGTGGGTTATGCTGCGACTACAACTGGTGCTTCATCTGATTCACAATATTTGTGCATGAGAATGTTCCTATTCTCAGCATTACTTGAGTCAACAACATAAACCCTGAAAAAAGCAAGCATCTCAGATCAAGCCAGATCAAGAATTCTGCAGGACTTGAAAGTTTCAGGTAAACCTGAAACAACTTCTCTATTCACTCCTTGTTCTCTGCCCCTTTACCCTGCAGGAAGTGAAACCATCTCACCTAAAAATAGGAGAGCTCATTAAAAACAGAAGGAGATAGAGTAGGGAAGTGGATGGCACAATGTTCACATGAATGTGAATGAGAATATATAAATACCTAAACCTTATAGTCAGCAAAAAGATCATAGGAAAGCAGGGTTAGAAGGGACCTCATGAGGTCATCTTGTCCAACCCCTGCTCAAGGCAGGATCATCCCTGACTTAAACCATCCCAGCCCAGGAATGGAGACTCTTCTTTAGGTAACTTATTCCAGCACTTTGCTATGGCTACCCTCACAGTCAGAAAGTTTTTCCTAACATCCAACCTAATTTTCCTAAAATTTAGAGAGCTGCTGCTTTCTCATGTGTTACCTGGCTCTTTCTGGTCTTCCCCTTCTAAAGATGAAGGTTTTTCTGGTTCCTTTATTTTACTGGAAGGAGGTTCAGTGCTTTGGTCAGGTTCTATCACTGCTCCTCTCCAGCTGCAAATACAAATATTTAACTAGATAAGAGATAAAAGTTAAAATGAATTAGCCTTATCTCTACTATCAAAAGTTATTTCTTTCTTATTTCACAACAGCCTGATAAACAAGATGCTAAAGTGAGATGTTGATTAAGGCTAAAAATAGTAAAAGGTCACTTGCAAGCTAATTAATTTTTATTTGAACACAGTGATTTCTTCCAGGGCAAACAGTAATACATCTTTTATTGGATTAATAAATGCCTGGCAAGGCTTGTGGGACTGGATGAATTTCTACTGTCATGGAATTTCATAAAAGAATGAAAGACATACAAACAAAATGTCTGAAAAATCAGGTCATTCAGAAATAATCCTAACTCTTATTTTCTGGTACTGAAATTACCATGGGAAGTCTCCACTCTAGATTGGAATATCTGCATACACATGAGCACTGTTAAGAGCTCAAGCGTGAACACAAGGTAAGAGCAGTATACACTGCTTGTTTTTATTTCCAAGATCCCCAGTAAATCACATGCTTCCCCCACCACAGCGACAGCAGAAGTCAGTCCGGAAAAGATTTACACATAGACAGGCTCCTGAAGGTACGACATTTCAAAGGCAAGATACACCGAGAGCCAAGAACACTGACATGACTGTTTTAGATATTTGTATATTATCAGCCCAAAAGAGCAGAGTTTATGGAATCTCCAAAGCTTATATGGGTTGTTTTTTTTAAAGGCACACTCATAACAGATCTACAGCATACTACAAACCTACAACACATCTGAAGTCTGGTCTATGTTAAATTCTCTATGGTTGTTACCACTTTTGCAGCTCCTCTAATGGTAATCACTAACGGCAGATAACGTTTGCAGCCAGCCTTAAGAGGCTTTATATAATCCAACTGCTAAAACATGGATACTAAAACATATATGCAAACAAAGCCACCATCAAAATTGCACCAGTGGTAGCAGATATGGAGAAAAAAATTCAGGAAGTTAAGCCTAGTTTTAAACATGTCCTACATGTCTCTGACTGCTACTGATTTTTTTTATATCAAACACAAAGTCTTATCCATCACTGATCCCAAATCAAGTAACTACCAAATCACTAATACCCTAAAAAAAAACAAAAACTGTACTGCTCTTAAATATATTGGTAAAGCTAAAGTGACAAAACTCTTTGTCTAAATACAGTCCCATCAATACTAACGCAATTCATACCAGTATAGCCATTTTCATACAGGAAGAGAAACAAGCCATAGCAGTATAACTGCATCCACACTAGGATTTACTAGGTTTAGTGGTACAAACAAAAAAAGTCAGACCTCTAAACAATAGTTAGCCTGGTAGACTTATGTGTAGGCCAGAACAAAGATACTGATAACTGCACCACGGTATCAATATTTTCCAAGGAATAACTGGAATAACCCTACAAAGAGATTGCAAACCCTTCTCTGCACTGTGTCAGTTTGGTGTTTCCATGATGCTTAGTTTGGCAGGGTCCAAACTCTGAGGGTATCCTTTATATGCTGCTGTATTGCAACTAACAAAAATAGTGAGACCACAAACACATGCAAACCAAGCAAATTATTCTGACAAAAATCAGCATCATGCTACTACAGAAGGTCAAAGAATCGTGCATAATTCAACAGCATCGTAGACAGACAAAGAAAATACCTCATAATTTTATCCACTAATTTTATTAGCATAATATCCTGAAAAGAAAACAAAAAAAAACCCCTAGAACACTGCTCCATCAAACTATCACTTGTTGAAAATACGTCTACCTAATAACAGACTTCTCCGTTTTCTCTTCTTTATCAGCAGGGTGAGGTTCTTCCTTAGCCCTGCCGGCATCATCTTGGGTTTGCAGCCTTGCTTCTCTCCGTGGTGGTCTGATCTGCAGATTAGGAGGACCCCGTCGGACATGAAGAGGTTTTGGATGTTTCTAGGATGAAAGTAAAGCAAAGGTAAATCAAGATGCATGTAACATACTATCACAGTGGCCAATACCCAGCCTACATTTCAAAAGTAGGCCAGAGCTGTACTTTGCAACTTGAAGAAAACCTAATTTTTGATGTAGAGATGGAGCCCACGGCACTACAAATCGTGCCATGCAATATTATCTTGAGCTGAAGTGCGGGAGGTAAACAACAATCACATTTCAAATTTTAGCTCTGATAAAACTATACACAGACTTAGGCAAAAACCTCTCTCATGAGGATCCCTTATGGTTACTGCATCTATATCATTAGCAGATATGTATTTAACAGTGCATTGTCAACAAAGTGAAAATTAAATGAACTCTTTAACAAAGCATAAGTGTTGCTAGCTATAACACAAAGGCACGTTATTAAGGGTTTATACAAGGCAGAGGCAAGTCAATAACAGGAATCTTTCAATAGCAGCTGTACATTTACAGAAAGCAAGAAAAAAAACAAGACACCCACTACATGAGAAAAACAGAGAACTGTGAATTCCCAGAAGTAATTACATGAAATTCATGTGTATGAGCAATCACACTAACCAGCATTCCTTTTCCCATTATTCCTTCACTGCATTTATTGGAAAACAGTCAGCTTGTATGTTACTTTAAAAGGACATCCAAAAAATAAAGAAAAAGAAAACTAACACACACACACACACACACTGCACAACCCAGCAGGCTTTTCATACTTTCACAATCCTGCAGAGAATCTGCTTGATTTACTGCTGTTTTTAGCTGGCTGTCAATCCTTCTTGAAAGCGATTCCAGTTTACCAGAAATAAATGACTGCACTCCTTGCAATCCCAGTGCTCCAAGCACAAACAAATTCATCAAGGTAATGAGGTGGAACCTAGAATACCAGGTCACAAAAACCTGAAGTACTGGTGCTACTAGGCACAGCAGTGGTTTAGAAAACCCATGCCGCACATTTAAGATCACTGCTAAACAAAGCCCCTATTAGGTCAAATAAAGTTTCCAGCTACATCTTTGCTCCTAAATATCCCAAATGCTTTCACAAGATATCAGTGTTCTTGGTAAAAGAGATGGCCAACTCTTTCAGAGAGAGCAAAAAACAAATTTTCAAAAATCACAGCAACTGTCTTTAAAGTTTAAGGATACAAGTTAAAGCTAGGAAATACTATTCTGAAACCAAAGGTTCTCTGGACAGGAACTAATTGTTATAAACTGGCCATAGCTTCTTTTTTTCTTACTGCTGTGCTCAAATTAGCACTATTTGCAGTTCTCACAAATGCAAGTAAATTTAAGAGAAATCTCTCTTTGTAATACCTGAGGGGAAAGCTCTTGGTAGTCTCCAAGGTTGGCATCTGCTTTCTGGGGTGCTGGCAAAACAGCAGGATTTGCTGGTTTCAACCCAGGAATTTCTGGTTCTGGCTTCAGATCTTCTGAGGATTTGTTTGTTAGGCCTACACACATAAAGTAACTTCAGTACACAACTACTGGGCATAAGGAATTAACAATTTAGATTATAGCTGGAAATCTAAAGGAATTAACTCTATATGGTAAGTACATTAAAAAAAAAAAAACACAACACACTTGCATTCAAGAAAACACCGAATGTCAGGTCTTTCAAACCTAAACAGAAGCATTAAATTACCAAACCTCTGTTATACAAGGGGAACGGTTCTGAATTTTTTTTTTAATCTTCAATGCAAAAAGTAAAAGCCAGTGTTGAAGACAAATTTGGACCTATCCCAAAAAAATGCTTAAAAGTTCAACCCTGCTGCATAAACACAATGAAGAGAGGATTATCTTACCCTCCAGTCTTGAAGTCTGGGTTGCTGGTTTAAGAAAAAACAAAAACCACCTATGTCCTAAGGATGACCACAACCTCCAAGAATAACTAGCCAAAACAAAATGACATTTCCAACCATAAACAATAAAGAACCAGAAGAGGTGAAACTGGGTTTTTTGTTTGTTTTGTTTTTTTAAAGATTTTATACTGTCAGGGTATAGGAGATGATAGAGGCTTGTTTCTAACTGAACACTTCTATTAAAGTGTATAGTACATTAACTTATCTGATTAATTTTGACAAGCTCTGCTCAATGTTTAACAGAAAGACCTATTTACAAAAACTAAGAATATGCAATCTATCAACTATTATAGCATGTATAAAGGTAAATCTTGAGCTTTATGGAACACATACTTTTCCACTGTTCCCCCATGTTTGTATATGAAATGACTCCACAGACTGCCAAGAAGGCAAACAGGAAGAGAATTACACTCCGCTGTAGTCGAGACAGCTGCTTCCATTTCTTTAAAAAAGAAAATAAATATGAGGAAGAAGAATTTTTAGCATGACGGAGAAAACCAGACCCCCTACAGTCACAAATAAACCCACCTAATTATTTTGTATTCCTTGCTCTGAAAGAACTCAAGCGTAGGTTTTATCCTGTTTCTTACTTTGCACATCCATCACTTATTTTCTTTGAAGATGTGGAGGATGCATGTAATATGTCAACATGGCAGAGGATGTTCAAAAATAATATTGGGGCCACTCACTGCCAGTCAATCAAGAGTAAGAAATTGCAACATGCGAAGTCTCCTGGAGAGAACATCAGCTACAGTATGCTGATTTTTAGAGCAACCTTTTTTGGCTGATCTATGCATCTGCCCAGATGTCAATTTGAGAAAGAGCCAAGAGTCTCTTCCTTTCTGTCCAGCAGGGTGCAACAAGAGGGACGTGCAAAGTGGAAGCAAGGAATAAAGAAAATGGAAGGGGGGGGGAAAAAAAGGAGAAACAAAATATTAGTGCATGAAAAGAGGATGGGTCAAAATAAAAAGACGCATCTTAAGCTGGACAGAAAGGCACCAGCCACTAACAATCCCCTTTTGTGAAGCTGTTATGTGAAACACAGGCTACCACAAAAAAGAAGCAGAGACAGCCACCAAACTTCAGCCACGTGAAACGGAACCAAACCAACTGCAGAACTAAAAAGGCAAGAAGCACAACGCCTGCAAAACTACCCTTGGGAAATACTACCTATTTTTACAATTAAGGATGGGTATTTCCAGCAAGCAGAAGTCTTATCAAACTGTAAGCCTGAACACAATAAAAAACTGCCTTCTAACAGAGATCCTCAGCAAGCTGCATGGGGCTCTGTACAGTTCAGAAACCCTTCACCAGCCTCATCTTGAAACCTGCCCCTCTTTAGTTACCTTCCAGGGCAGAACATGACAAGGCAGCAGTTGGCCTCTGCACTGGGCAACCTTCCCCTCCCTGCCACAAAGCACCACCTGGGCACATCCCTTCGTTTCCCACCTGCTCTTCTGCCCCACGATGCTCCCCACAGACTTCACCTCCCAGTGGGGAGACGAGCCTGGCTGCTGCAAGCAACCAACCGCCAGCTCCAACTACCCCGCTGAAAATTCACATCAGCACAGTGCCTGGAGCCTCGGCCCCAACCTCTCCTGCCGGGGAAGACCCTGGCAAGGAGGGGGCGGCTGCCTAGGAGGAGAAGAGACCCCCCAAACAAAAGCTGAAGGAGCCCTTGCACCCCTCAGGCATGCACATTGCAGCTACTCGGCCCTTCTGACAGCTGGAGCGTCACGCACGGGTCTGCCAAGTGGTTGTTGTGTGGGGCCGGGTTACATCTATTGCGCGATTTGCCCGTGCTTTGCGTAATAAATGTAACGGGTCGCAGGTGCCTCCCCCAAGCTGTCACTGGCATCCCCCCGCCCTGCCCTGCCCTGCTCAGCCCAGGCAGGACCAGGGGAGGTGGAAACGTGCTGGGCCCCCAGGGCAGAGCCCACCCCCCCGGGCCGGGCCCCCGGCCGCCAGGGGGCGCCGCTCTCACCCTCCAGCAGGAGCGCCGCCGCCAGGCCTTGCTGTTGTTGTAGCCGCCCGCCGCCTCGCCGGGGCTCAGCGTCACTGAAATGAAGTCCCGTCTCTGCGGCGGTGGCAGCGCCGAGTACATGGTGGCGGGTTCAGGGGCCCGCGCCCGCCGCCATTATCCTCCAGCCCGAGAGCCGGGACAAACCAGCCGCTTCCGGATGCCGCTCTGGCCTTCCCGCTTCCGGAACTCTATGGCGCCCCTAGCAACAGCCTCCTGCCGGCGTGTCCTAGCAACGGGGGGGAGGGGGCGCCCAGGGAGGCCTTAAAGGGCAACGACCCGCTCAGCCGCACGAGCACTGCGTGAGAAGCCGTGCGGATAGCGGGGGGCTGGGTTTCTCCCATTAAAAAAAAGAAAAATCCCCAATTTTCAGACTAAAAAAGGCACCCCAAATCCACATCTTCCCATGATTCAAATGAAACACCACTATATATAGATCTATATATTAAAAAAGTAACCCCAAATCCACATTTTCCCATGCTTTAAATGAAACACCGCTATATTGGTGCATCCATATTGGTGCATCATGACACTATATAGACCTATATATAGCGGTGTTTCATTTAAAGCATGGAAAAAATGTGGATTTGCAGTTACTTTTTTTAATCGAAAACCTGGGGATTTTTTTTTTTTCAGAGAAAACCAGGATCCCTGCTAATAGCCCGCTGCGGCGTGTCAGTGTGACGAAAATGTGCACCAGCGCTACTGCGCAGTAACGCTAGTTACTGTGTATTGAGTTAGTACTTCATTAAACAAGTAGTAAAGTAAATGCACAACAATTAGGGTCCATTAATAAATGCATAGCTGTGTCCACCGGGCAACACAGGAGCCGCTTGTGCTGATGCAGCTCTGCAGGCATGAGGCGGCCGGATGCCACGTGCAGCGCGAGGATGCTCTGCCTTACACGCTGCCCTGGTTTCGGACACTGCCGAGCCCCGGGTGTCCCCCACCCATCTCCATCGCTGGCAGGAAAGCCGCAGCCGCCCCCTGCTCCCTTCACGTGCCCATGCACCCCCTCTGTATTTAAAAACGGATTTCTTGTTATCCTTGATTGTCCCAGTCCATCTCCGCTTTGGCCTTCCTAACAGTCCCCCTATAACCCCAAGCAACGGAGGTGTAGTCCTCCCGGGTGATGGCTCCTCCCTTCCATTCGGTGTACGCCTCCTTTCTAGCTTTGTGACGTTCCTGGATGGTTTTGGTGAGCCGTAGGGGCTTTTGAGCGCTCTTGCCCCCTTTGATCCGTGTGGGGATTGCCACCGTTTGAGCTTGGAGGATCGTCTCCTTCGGGAACGACCACTCTTCTTGGACTCCCAACATCCAGTGCAACCCCCTGCTCAAAGCAGGACCATCTCCAGCTACATCATCCCAGCCCAGGCTTTGTCTACCCCAGCCTTAAAAACCTCCAGGGTGGAATCCCACAGCCTCCCTCGCAGCCTGTTCCCGTGCTTTACTGCCCTCCCCTCCCAGGGGGAAAGTCTTTCCTAGTATCTCCAGCAATCCTTGCTTCTTCCATGCTGCTGTTCACTGCTTCTAGTAATACATTTCACAGCCCTGCTGTCTGTTTTTTAACACTAGCTAAAAACATTAGCTCCGGTATGGCAATATTAGTTCAGGGGAACATTAGTTCAGGTGGAAATCACTTGCAGTGAAGCACTGAAGGCACCCTCCAGCTGCTCAAGGCTTGATTTGGTGTTATGCATCTGGAATGAACTACAAGGACTCCAGGACTAATGAAACAACAGCTTTGGATTATTTTTGTTTGTTGTGTTTTTATATGTAATGTGCTACATAGCAAATTAATGCCTATTCCAATGAAGTGTCTAGTTTTGTTTTGTTCTTTTCCTTCAGTCTTAAATTGAGTACTAGAGATTTAGGCCCCTGCTTTTAGCAAAGCCTCCAGTTTCTTAACTGGAAGAAAAATGTTGTATGTTATATGCAGTGATGCACCACACCATTTGCAACCCCCTTTTGGAAGGCCTAGGTTCACCCATGTCCACAAGTGAGCCCCATCCCACAAAGCTGATATCACACTGGGATTTGGAGCAAGCAGAAAAATCACAGGACAGCTCAGAGAAAGGGAGCAGAGTATATTCAACCTCACTCCATCCAGAAAGAGAGCAAAGAAAATTAGGCTCACAAGAAGACTAACATTAACTTCACTTGCACTATATTTAGTAGTGACACAGCAGGGGGTGTACGAAGCTGCTCCTGTTTCTTTCCCAGAATGGAGGAAGGGGCATCCTGTGCCTGCAAGCTTGTCTAACATCTCTTCCAGCTGGCCCAATAAAAGAGCAACATCACCAAACAAACCTTGCTTCTCATCATTAATTCAGGCAGCATAACAACATTGCTTGTTTTGCAAGCGCTGGTGGGTGTAAGAGGGAACAAGCTCTGTGGGTGGGGGAACATGCTCTGCTCTTTGAACAATCTGAAATGGTGGATCACTAAAGCACTACATCCAAGCAATTCAGTAGAAATGCCACCCAACTTGTCCTTGTGAAGAAACACTAGGGCTTTTTTACAGTTTTGTTCCATAGAGCCATCGTTTTCTTTAAAAGTGATTGTTGATCGGTGATATAGTAAAAGTATGATTCCACTTGACACCTCGTGGTGCACTGCTGTATAAACAACAGCTGTGAAACACTGACTCAGAGCCATACCACTGAAGTGTATTTTAATAAAAAGGCACACCATTCATTTTAGATCCAAATTTAACCTCATCCTACATTAAGTCTGTTAGCCTAAGGAAAATTAAAGCTAACAAGTCTGAAAAGGGAGGCGATGAAAAAGTGTTGTGTTGGAAAATACTTCCCACATAATGTCAAACTCCCTCCTGTATTATGTTCTCTCGTGTCCCATTTTTGAGTTCTCATATATCTGGATCTTGGGAGAGCTTACAATATACCTGCATTTGTAACAGTTCTTCAGCAGCACTATGTCAGATTTCCATAATTACAGTAGAGACACCCATAACTGTGCAGCAATAAAGAACCAGCTCATTATCTTTATTTCTTTCATGTCATGTGCATTAAAGATAGAGATGAATTAGAAGTTGCACAGTATCTTTATTAGAGAAATGTATTCAAGAAAGCTTTGGGAGACCTAAAAGAGGGATCTCCTTTTGTTTTATAAAAAAAGCCATTCAGAAGAGATGCTGGAATCATTTTACCAAACACATGATAAATTATATGTATTTAGTATTTTTAAAGTTCCTTTAAAATCCCTTTTAATATTTCAGTTTGAGATACAAGAAAGAACAGTCAGCTCCCACTGGAAAATGCATGATAAAAAGCATGTAAGCAGCCATACATTCATGAGATGAAAGAGTGCTGGGCTAAATGGCAATTCAGGCTCCAAGGAGAATGTACCCTTTTGGCAAATGCAATACAAGGCTGCAGGACAAATTTTCTTTCGATAAGGCAGAATGCAGCTTAAAATAAACTTGTGCAAGAATTAACAGAAATTAATCATAAAGATGCTGTGTGTTTACCCCCAGATTTCATTCAGTAACTCAACTGACTGAAATGGAATCATCACAGGAAAATTATGCAACACAGTCAGTATTTGCCTTTGACAATTCAGTCTATAATTTACCTTGACAATCTTTTATAATTAACATTTTCACATCCAAGCAGATTAATCAGGAGTGTGATTAGCTCCTCTCCATGTGCAAATAGTCATTTGTCTATATCTATGCAAATACAGCTCATACAAAAGCAAATTTTGCAGTTGAAATGTAGATGACTTCTTTCGAAACTATGAGCCTGCGGTAAAAAAAAGTTATCACAAGAGGCCTTTCTTATATTTCACCAAATTCACCTCAATCTTACTTTATAAAAAAGTTTATTCTCAGTAATTTAGGTGCAATGACTATTGGTCAGAACAGCTGAAATATCAAAATCCAAACAAAACATATGGCCAAATACTTTCTTTAGTTTTAAAAATACAGCTGTTTGGAAAAAAAAAAAAAAAAAAAGACTCAGTTGACTAACTGTGAAGCTATCTGCAGAACAATATTGAGGGAGGAAAGGATCTGGTTAAGAGACCATCTTTTTTTTTTTTTTAAATAACCAGAAAAAATGAATGTGACCACCTCAATCAGGTTTTTATATCAGACAGGTATTCACATCATAAAATACACACACACACACACACACACACACACAAAATCAAAAAGGCCAAAGATTATACAGTACATGAAGAATTAATTCTCTCAGCTAGATGTGTGCTTTCTATGCCAGGACTGAGGTCCATCTGTTACATATAATTCTGATAATTACCATCTCTGGTTAATAATCTGGCACGTTCAGCTCAACAAACTTGAAAAATAACTTTAAAAAATGAAGACAATGATGAAAGTAAGAGGAACGCAATGCTTCGAGGGGTGCAGGAATGGTGGATACCAACCCTGCCCTCTGGTTACAAAGGCACATCCTGGCTTTTTATGGCTTGTACCATTTATGCTAAGATTAAATACCTTTTTACTTTAGAGCATTAAATCATACCCTCCTGGATTTACTCCATTTATTGCTTTAAAGACACTTATAAAAAAAGTCTAAAAGTGAGAGGCATGTTACAAAAAGTTGGACAGCAAAATAAAAAAAAAAAAATAGCGTCTCCCAGGACAGAAGGAAGATAACGTTAACGTGAAGTATTTCTGATGATTCTTTTTAAAAACTAGACAATTACAATTTAAAATCCAACCAATCCACAGCTGAACTTGAAGGTGTAAGTCTTTTAATCTTGATTCTACAACCTGAATGCTAAGTCACACTTATTCTCAGATAAAGCCCCACTGAAGTCAGAGGTCTATAAAATGGCGTTACCTGGGTGAACACTATTCATTATCTGAATGGACTCTCTAATCAGAGCAAATACAGGACTAGCTGCCAAGACAGAGCTAGGACAAAAGGGGCATGGACTCTGGAAGATATAACTGTAGTTGTGTATTCAGCATTTTATGGGCTTGGACCTCAAATTAATCTCTTTCACATTCCTACATTAACATCAATGAGAATTAAAAAAATCTAGTGACAATTACAGTTTAATTAATCTAATTATGTGACATGCAAAAAACTGTTTTGGTCCCAATTGGCTCTTATCACTTATTTGTATAACTTAGAAACTAGAAGGATAACAGTTTTGATTGCAGAAATAAAGCCTATTTAGTAACTGGATTAACAAATACAAATATCATTCATACCTGAACCTCCAAATAACAGTGAGGTAAGGATGTAACTTCTGAAGTTATCACATAGCATTGGAGTGTTTTTCTACCTGTAAACATACTCACTACTGGCATTTGGCATCAACCTGATAATGCAATCTAATTATTGATAGCATTTTAATAGTAAATGCCAATGTTTAATTAGTGCCTGTTGCCATCATGGAGCTGATGGTCATATGTATTGGTTCCAGGTTTTCCCCTTGTTCAAGAGTTTTCTGGCATTTCTGTTTTGCTTCCATCAAATATAAAGGGTGAAGTGATGTCTTTATTCTTCATGTATGTTTCCAGCCCCTGCAAATGTGTGAAAAAATACAGTTAGCTTGTAGATGCATCAAACCTGGTTATATTTGCCAAAATTAAGAGCTGGTATTGCTGGGGAAGGGCAGCTGACAGCTCAGCAGGTTAAGATCTTCTGTTTACAGATTAAGACAAGTACAGCCATGAACAGCACAAGCTTCAATGATACACTGAAATATTGACCCTGTATTTAGAAACAGATGCAAGGGTTTTAGCTACAAGGCTCTCATTAGAGCAAGTGCAAGTGGCAGAAGCAAACCCCGGTGCAACAGACATCTAAGCATGCATTTTCACTGGGGAAAAAAACAAAACAAAACAGTATTGTTAATTCATGTCAGTTCACACATGGAAACTACTGGAGAAAGGGAAGATAATTATGTGAAAGCCTACTACCATGAATTAAAACTCCAAACTGCCTTGTCTGTGCTAAGATTATGCCTCCAACCAACTGCCATGTGTTAGCTACCAAGAGTTAACAGCACATCTGATGAAGATAAGGCCTAGGTGTATAAGAAAACCTTCCAAATACATCTGCGCTCCCACTGCTGACGTCTAAGTCACCCTCTACAGTTCTCATGGGGCCGTTCCTCCCCACCCTACCTGTCCCAGATGAGGCTCTACACTACATGGTCTGCCCTCATTCACTAAGAAATATCATTCTTTGCTTTCTGACTTTCCTTCACATCATGCTTCTGGCTCCTAACATGAAAAGGAAGCCTCCGACTGTGTGGCTCTGTGAATCCCAGCAACAAGAAAAACTCTTCCCCCTGCACGAAGGAAGATCTCTGTCATTACAACTTTGTTCCCCAGGCAAAATTCCAGAAATCTCTGAAAGCTGGTCCCTAAAAGGGTAGAGCAGGTACCTAGCTTTGGGTGTTTAGTGCTTACTCGCTCTAGAAGAGATCCCTTACTGCTCTAAATGTGTGTGGACTTACACCACTTATGCATTTGGCCCCAGGGATTTATCTATCATGATGACGTATTCCACTACAATAGACCTTTTTTTTCAGGAGGCCTCAAAGCATTTATGAACCTTAATGAGGTTGAACAGCCCCACTAAGAAGTGGGCAACTATTATAAATGTCATTTCATAGATAGCAAAACTAAGACACAGAGGTTATGTGCCTTGCCAAAACTATACTGACAGGACTTAGAGGTTCTGAACTCCAGGTACTTAAAAATATCTGCTTAGACAATTAGTCTCACCTCTCCGAAATAAGACACCAATGGAGAAATTTCACACACAGCAGGAGGGTCTTCAGTTCCTGATAAACTAAAGAACAGAACAGGATTAAGTCCACTCTTTACATGCTTGTAAAATGACAGCTTTCCCATGGAAACTCAGAAAACAGGACATATCACCAAAAAGGGAAGAGAGTGTATGATCACCTACCCCAGAGACTGTTTGAACCTGGGTTATGGTAAAAGTTAATATTTCCTAGGTTACTTCACATCAAAAATTGCATTAAGATTTCTAGGAAGTACTTTTCAACAAGAGACTAACGGTTTTAGTTTTACTGAGCTATGAGGCAATGAGGCAGAAGCCCTACTCAGGGTAAAGGATCTCTGTGAATTAAGCATGACAAAGGAAACATCTGGGACAGGGTTTCCTATAGAATGACAAATGTTGGTGCCCAAGAGAACGAGAGATTTTCTATGCATCTATGAGTACAAGATCTATATTCAGACAAGCTGTAAGTTACACCTTCTCAAGCTGGCCAAGTCCTTCTTGCCAAGAAGAGAACTGACTCAGAGACAGAGAATATTTTTGCTACTGCTTTCTCTTGTCAGTGCTTCCACCATAGGGAACAGCATTAAGCCTTGCCAGAGCTCTGTGGGAACGCAGAGGTTAGATAACTCGGCACCAGGCTGTACTTCCAATATTTGGAGATGCACTGCTCCCAACCCTGCTGTGGCACAACTCAAGTTACGACCCCTTCAAGCTTCTGGAGCCTTATTTATTGGTGGACATAGCCTCTGCTGAAGTGACTGCCAGGCGGTAAACCCGTATCCAAGCAGATATGCTACCTACATGCAGAATACGTTGTGCCCCCCAGGGAAAGCCTGCTTCAGTTTACACAATCTGTGATCACTAATGCACCAGGAGCGGTTGTAGATATTGATCTCAAGCGGTGTGTCAATGAAAGTCCTGTTGCAGAAGAGGAACCATGCCGATCACCACCAGAAACACTGACTGAGGAAGTCACAAATTCTCTGCACCACAGGACATGCCAGAAGCCAGCCAAGAGTTGGCAGTGACTGGAACGAAGCGAAATACCTGACTAGACGTGTTTACCTGATTTTCTCTGGAATCCTGCAGCCATTTTCATCCAGGAACCTGGCTCCAGCCTTCAGAGCCCAGCGGTAATGCTGGGACAGGAGGGCTCTCCGAGCTGTGGTAGGAGTATCTTTGTCACCTGTATCTGCATTTTTTAATGGGGAGAACTCTTCTTCCCTTAAAACTTCAAATGCAACAAAGTTCCTGTCAGCAAGCAGTAAAGAAAGGAAAAAAAAAAATGCCTTAGCGTAGGTTCTTCTTGACAGTAAAGGCACGTATAAGATTCCATAGGGGATGCCGTATAACCTAGACAGCACTAATGTAGCAGAGCCCACAGCAGAATTAAACCAGGCTAAGCTTGCTTCCCTATGTGGAAAGCAAAGGAGTATAAGGATCAGGTCCACGGGGACACGGGCTGAGAAACCCAGCCTGGCGGGGAACTGGGAGTCTGAAGAGGGAGCTTGCTAAGAAGAGGGCACGTGACAATTCTCCAGAGGTCCCAGACAGAAAGCCAAGAAGGAAGAGACCTTCGGGGCAAAGGAGCCTGGTGAGTGAAAAGCTCCAGCTAAGACAGCAAAAAGTAAAGGTGGGGCATAACTGAGGGAAACTGAGGCACGAACAGGGCCTAAAAGCTAGAAAGGGAAGGCCTTGCTCCACTGTCTGTGATCGACCCTTATGAAAGTCTGTTACAAATAAAAAAGTGCAGTTCTGAGCTTCAGTTTTCTGTCCCACAAAATGGCTGTTAAATCAGGGGTCCCGTGGGACAGGGGCAAAGTACAGTTTCATGAATACTGCTTATGGAAACCCCCCGTCCTCCCTCTGCCAGATTTAGTACACTTTATAAATAGCTGTTTTTCAGTCATGGGAAGGCAAACAGAGGCAGCAACTGCATGTTTTTGCATTTCAAATATGAAATGCATCCAGCAGTGTCAGTTGCCATCATTGTTAAAAAAAAAAAAAAAAAAAAAAAAAAAAAATCACCGCTGTAATTACCATTTCAAAACCTAAAGCTCATATCTGCTTTTGACACCAAATTATTTTGCTTTCTTGGTCTCCTGCTAAGTTACTGTAGGGTTCCTCATTAGGGCTGGGCAGCGCAGCAGCTATGCAGATGTAAGATACGTTTAAAAAGCTTTTTCTTTTGTTTTGTTTTTGGCCTGAGGGCAGAATCAGATTTTAAGCTGCTCAGTCCTGAATTAAATCCATTTAAAAATGGACAGATGTAAAACCCCCAAAGAGAATGATATCATGCTCCAGCTGATGCTGCTTTATGCTTATGTTTCAGCCTGGTGAATCTTTGCTGTCAAATTCTACAGCCAGGAAAGCAAGGTTTAAATTCTAAATGATAGAAATCATGCTACATCATTAAGCTATTAAATGCAGCACCTCTTAAATAAAAAGACCACAGGTTGTGTTAGTGGCATAGTAAGATAGATCTCTGACATGCCTTAAAAAGTCAGGCAATGCAAAATTTACAGTTCACACAGCAACAGTAATTTGGCCACATGGTGCTTAAGTAATGTATTTTATGTCTGTATATATAGTATGCTAACAGAAGCTTGACTTGATATGCATGTAGAGTGTAACAGAGTTATAGTTGCTACAAGAGCCACAATTTTGAATAGGTCATCTTCAGTGGGTTTGAATTCTCCATCATGGGATTAATATTAAATTGAGGCTCCACCCTGAATTCCCTTGACACAAGGTAAGCAGAGGCTCACTCAGCCAAACCACCAACCCCCAAATGCATAGTCGCTAACTTGCAGGTATTCAAAGTAAATTTTACAGGTGCGGGACCCCTGCCCCTTGAAATACAAGGCAGCATTGTCACCAAGCATCAGTTTGAAGCAGGCCTAGCATCCTTTTCATAAGTTACCCATAATGTCAGCATTCAAAAATCTGCCCTCCCCATAAATACATGTTACAATCTAAGGTCATGGAAAGGAATACTGAGAAGGAAAAGATTCACATCTACCACTAACTTAGAGAACTGGAACACATCAAACACAAACTTCTCCAGCTTTATCCCGTTCGGTTTTAGCGGCTTTACCAGATTTCCCTCCTCGTCAACATATGGCACCTTCTTTATGGCTACATGCTGCTTCAGCTGGGGCTCAAATTTCCTGCCAGGGTGAAACAGAAATAAAAATAAGTTCATGTATTTTATGCAGAAACAAGCAAGAAGATTCCCAGCTCTCAATAGTAGGCAGCTTATTGCTACCATTAGCTCACCTTGGGCTTAGAAAGTGCTGCTCTTTCCTTGTAACACCCAAACACCCACTGTTGAAAAACAGCAAGCCCTACAGGATGCCCACTGGATAGAATCAAAGGGCACACCATGGTGGCAAACACCAGGAGAGAGTCAGAGTAACAGTACCATGCTGTTTAAATGGGAGTGGGACTGAACTGTACAAAGGCATGAACTAACTTCTCTGGTTGTAGACCTCCACTCCACAACTCTCCAGCAGGAGATCCATTCACTCAGGCAAGAAAATGCAAAATCATTAGAATGAACTCACACTGGCTGACTACTCAGTGAGCAGGAAATAGTTAAGATCATCTACATTAGACACCTCCTTTGGTGTAACTAAATTCATTTTTGGCACAGCAGGGCATAACTCATCACTGATCAGTCCTCATTAAAAGGATCCTAAACACTTTAGTAAGAGAAGACAGCTGTTTTCAGCAATATGAGCAATTTCCCCCCAGTAACAGAAACCTACAACCCACAGCAGCTGGGACAGTCCCTGCTTAGTACATTTTTAGTTTGTGAAGCCACCTAGCAAAACTTACTGTGCCACTGTCTTGAGGAACTCAAGTGTGAAAAAGTGATTACAGATGTTGCCAGCACTGTAAACTAGTTGCCCATCAGGGCTCTGCTTCTGTGTAGTCTCCAGGCTGATTTCACTGTATTCTACCACCTGAGAGACTCCATCAACAAGGCAGACTACCCCAACAGGCTCTGTAGGGTAGGCTTTCTCCACCACCTGCAGTGACAGGACAGAGGATGAGGGTAGCAGCGAGGAAGCAGGGATTCAATTCAATTCAAGTGGGCTTCAAACCTTTTCATGCTGCCAGATGTTAGGATAGCTCGTATACAAACTGACACTTGTGGAGGTTCTGTTTTATGCTAGTGTGACACAGGAGATTCAACCCAGGAGACATTGCCATGAGTATGGGGTAGCACTGGAGACTCATTTTGCCCCATGAACTTGGCATTCAACTAGGTATCTATCCAAACCACTGGGAAGAAAATGAAACATTTAAAGTGATCATACTGGATCCAAGATCACACTGGGGCACATTTTTCCTATTAAGGAAGTTGGTCCAATGCTAAATGCAACACATTTATAATTACTGCTTTAAGATTTCTTCTCTTGCTAAGGCTGTTAATTATTAAATGTTATGCAAGCTTCTCTCCATAGATGTTCAAAGACCTGTTGCTTTTGATCTACAAAGACAAGACAGCCTTGCTCAATCTCCTACGTCCCCACTCCAGAGGTATCTGGACTAGAATAAAAGATGAATAATACGACTCAGTCTAGACAGCCCTCTTGCCTCTAGGCTTCTCAAGTATGCTTAAAAGGCACAGTGTCCTACAGATATACCTACAGTTCCACAAATTGGACACAGTTTGCCGCTAGCACAGTCACCACCTAGGGAACACTAGTGGGGACTGCACATGTGGAGCTCAGCTATGTTTGGTCTTCATGTCACACTTTCTCTGAGAATGATTAGAGGACAAAATGGTACACACCTAAGCACACCAGAGCCCTGGCTACCCAACAGCTTCCAAGCAGGGGAGAACACAAATACACACACTGGAGAAGTGGCTCAACATTAGTATTGGCTCACCTTCGCACCGCAGTCTGCTCCTTTGGACACACAGAAGCCAATGAAGACCGGATCGGCCATTTTGACAAGGATATTGTCCACACAGTAAACATGGATATATTGGATCCCACGTTGTTCCATGTCATCCAAGATCTTGTTGTCCACCACTGCACGGTATAAACCTCCATTGCCATCTATAACCCAAAGAAATAACAAAGCCCATTTTGTTAATGTCCAAACATCCAAACCACACAGTGATGTCAAGAGCAGAATCTTTAAACCATGAACAAATAAGGAAAGCTGGGATGACATTATTTAGTGGCTGAAACGCAGGACTGGAATTTAGCATGGCTAAATATTATCCCAAGTTTACCACATGTTGACTGTAGCCCTGGGAATGAGTCACTTAGTTTCTGTGCCTCTGTCTCCCCACCTGTAAAATGGGAATAGTGATAACTCCTGCTGTGAAATAGGTGAATGAGGGATTACTCAGTGACATGCCAAATACACTTTAAGATCCTTAGAGGAAAAGTACCAGAAGGAAGCTATTAGAAGTTGGGAAATAATTATCATGCTCCTCATTTTCTAATACTCTAGTTTCAGACACATTTAAAAATAGAGTTTTAAAAGAAGTTCTTACTCTCCATGGTGTTTCAGCGCACTGTCTCCTTGATGCATCGCACCAGGTTTTGTAGGAGGCACCTCAAGCACTTGTGCCATACACACAGGAAGCAGATCACATTCTTGGTGCTTGGAAAGGGATCAATAGCACAAACTTTGAGGTAGGCACGGCACAGGCAAGGAGATGTACCAGCTTCTCACCTCTGCTAACACCCTTCAATCCTGATATGTAGCATCCCTTTGCTACTGCAGTCTTGATCCCCCACCAATGCTCTTTTATCTCAACCCGCAATAGCCTACACTTTTCCAGTTTGGCCAATATTCCCAATCGGCAAGAAAGCATTTGTGACATGGGCAAACCTCTAAAAAGGATGGAGCCAAGATCATCACACCATGAATGTGTCTGAACACCATAGTACCAAGCTAATCAGCAACTTTCACCAAAGCATTAACATATGCTCCTACAGAGAACTCCTCTGTGCCAAGGTAGGGATGGACAGCTCTGAATTTCAACATGCTTTTCCTTACTGTGACAATCATAGGTAGACAGCAGGGTACCTGGTGCCATGGCAATTTTCCCCTTCTCTTCCAAGATAGCTTTCCCATCAAATGTTACAGCTGGCAGCATCCTCTGCTCAAACATAATCACATTAGACTTGTCCAGGTTAAAGTAGTCATGTTCTATGAAGAATTTCTCCGTTGGTCCCAGTGTAAACTCACTTGTCATGATGTACCTGCAAGTGAACAGAAACTGAACTAATAAGAATGAACACAGTTCAAAATAATGGCACATAGGAGATACCCTGATCAAGTCTATCGTTTGGGTTTTTCTAACAGGGAACCGATACTGTTCTAAAAGAGCTGCCTGAAATATCCTCAGTGTTTAAATAAGATGGATATCCCTACAGTGAAACTCATACTGATTTACAAGTTCTCCAGAGAGGGGCCATTTCTATTTCCTATAGCTGGGTGCAATTTTGGGCGCCGCACTTCAAGAGAGATGTGGATAACCTGGAGAGGGTCCAGAGAAGGGCCACTCGCATGGTTAAGGGCTTGCAGGCCAAGCCCTATGAGGAGAGACTGGGGCACCTGGACCTCTTCAGCCTCCGCAAGAGAAGGTTGAGAGGAGACCTTGTGGCTGCCTATAAGTTCATCATGGGGGCACAGAAGGGAATCGGTGAGGTTTTATTCACCAAGGCGCCCCCGGGGGTTACAAGAAATAATGGCCACAAGCTAGCAGAGAGCAGATTTAGACTAGACATTAGGAAGAACTTCTTCACAGTTAGAGTGGCCAAGGTCTGGAACGGGCTCCCAAGGGAGGTGGTGCTCTCCCCTACCCTGGGGGTCTTCAAAAGGAGGTTAGATAGGCATCTAGCTGGGGTAGGCCTCGACCTGGGTCCATCTAGACCCGGCCCTCTTTCCTGCCTATGCAAGGGGTCAGACTCGATGATTTATTGAAGTCCCTTCCGACCCTAGCATCTATGAATCTACGAATAGCAGTGGTTTCCAAACTGCGTTCCATGGAACCCTGGGGTCCTGCAACGAGGTTGACAGTAATGGAGACTGTACCCTCAATGCTGAACCAGGTCGCCTGGCACCACACCAGTCTTTGGATAGGGGCAGGGGTTCTGTGCCAGAAGAAGTGATGAGAAAGGGTTCTGTGACTTCAGAAGTTCAGAAAACACTGCTCTATAGTACGCCTGCGTGAGTGGCAGCAATCCAATCTGGCTTCGGATCCGGCCACTTCGGATGGCAGGGACCTGATCTGGAGCTCTGGACCGGGTTTCCATCTCCATCCAGCCAAAGCAGCTCCGAAGCTTCGGAGCCACCTCAGATATCTAGCCATAGGGTATAATGGGGAAATCAATGAAATATCTATAACTTTGTTGTTTTTTATCCGACTTGGATGAAACTTGCAGGGATGGTAGCTTCTGGCAAGAGCATGAAACCTGCCATGTTTCAAGAAGATGGGTGCAGGGGTTTGGGGGGAACTGTACCCCAAATTCTTGAAAGAAAAACTCCTGCCATGTCTATGTGTTACACCACAGGGGGGATCAAAACTGCAGGGCTGGTAGCTCTTACTGAGGCCACAAAGCCTGCCAAGTTTCAAGAAGATCGGTGCAGGTGTTTGGGAGGAACTGCCCCACAAGCTACGAACAAGCAAAACTCGTGCCATGGGTGACCCTGCGTGTGTTAAGGCGCAGCACAGTGACAGCTGCAGGGATGGTGGCCCCTGCTGTAGCCACGACGCCTGCCAGCTGTCAGGATCGGTGCAGAGGGCTTCTGGGGCCCTGCACCCCTAGCTGCTGACGGGCACAAATCATGCCATGGGAGCGCGTGTGGCTGCCATGGGTGCTTGTGGGACTGTCTGTCTGTCCTGGGGCAGTTGATTGTATTGATTCTTTCCTCTCCTTAGTCTGGCTTTGTAGGTGCTAATTGATGGCAATTAACTGGCTACATTAGCTAGGTCCTATGTACTGAGCTGGTGGCTGAGTGAATCATAATTGATTGGTAACTGTTAACACAGTAGCTTAGCAGCGAGGCCTGCAATAGTGTCTCCCATGCCCCAAGCCAGACAGTCAGTCCCCCAAGCACCTATGGCACAAGTTTTGCCTGTCAGCAGCTAGGGGAAGCCGAACGAGGCAGCGCTTCAACCCGGACATGCTGCTTCGGACCCCAAAGCATCTGAAGCTTCTCCAGATCCGAGCTCTGTCCGAAGCCTCACACAGCCCTAGTCTATAGGATATCCACAAGGGCTAGCTCAGCCCTAACCTTATCATTTGACCCCAATTAAAAATGTCTTTCTCCAAAAGTGAGTGACATCCATGTGTCAGAGGGTCACTCAGTGGTTGAAGTAAGGAAAAAAACCCTCCTCACACATGCCTGATAATCAAGTTAATGCCAAGACATGGAGGAGGAAGGGTCTACAGTAGGTTTCCATTGGCTTTGGGTCTCAAGGGCCAATAATGACTCTTCAGTAGCCTGAATCCAAATTTTCCAGATCCTCTTCTCCTGGAGAAACAGAACATTTTCTAACCCTGTTTTCCCTGTGCTGTTATTCTTCTCCCTCCTTCCATTTCCAAATAATTCTCTCTTTCTTCCCCCACATTTTTCTTCTTTAATGGGGTGGGAAATATGGGGGCTAAGAGCTCATTTTCATGAAATCCTCACCTAAGCAGCTCTGCAATTCCTATTTCTATAGGCCCGCAGGGTCCTGTTCTTGCACACTAGAATGGCCAGCCCAGCACTGGACAGTATGGGTGCTGGCATAAACTGGCATCAGGCTTTCATCTACTGCGTTTTCCAATGCTCCCTTTCAGAGTGAACAAAGCTCTAGGCAAATACCAAATGCAATCAGTATAAATCAGGTCAAATATATGTGGCATAAGACACACTGGCCCCAATGAGCTTTCCCAGAGAACAACCTGGAGCCATGTCAAGTTAGTCAATTATTTATAAACAGCACCTAGACAAAGTCTCAAGGTGTTAAATTCCAAACCTCAGGGATACTCTGGGGCCTTCACACTCCTCAACTCCCTCCTATGACCGAGCAGGACAGGGTGGTGACATTAATAAAATCTTCTTGCTGGTAACAGCCTACTGCCAGAATTGCGCACTTAAGAGCCTTCCCCCTTCTCATCAACCCCCTCACCGAAGGAATTATTTTTCTGCACTTTGAACATTTTGACTGTTTTGCAACCTGGAGGCAAAGCAAGCCATCAGCAGGCAGGAGATTAGGAGCCCAGTTGCAAATAAGGCACTCTTAAAGCAAGCAGCATTTCAAGGCTTCTATCTTTGACATAGCCCATTTAATGCTGTTCTTTTTAAGCATGCTTCCTGCGGACACCTGGATAGGCATAGCAGGAGGTAAAAAACAGAGGAAATATGTTGAAGAATCACTGTGCAGGATTCTCCTGATGGAGCCAGAGGTTAAGTAGGAAGGGAAGCACTTATCTTTGTGGGAAGAAAAAAACCCCCACTTTACTGTGGCAGAAACAGTAAGTACTGGGTTCTTGGAAGCTGCACAATAAGATTTTTCAAGCCCCAAAAAACCCTCAGAGAAAGGCACAATACATTTTCATCTTACCTGCTCTTAGAAGCCCTGGTGGTTACTTGTGATAGGTCTGAAATAGATGCCTAGATATCGCAGAGATAGGTGTTGTATTAAAAACTAGATGGAGAGATCACAGTTGAACTATGCTTCAATTATTTGGACACTGGTCTGGGATCCAAGAGGCCAGGGTTCCTTTCCTAGCTCTGCCACTGCTGTCTGCATTTGGGAAACTCACTTCCCTTTTCTGTGCTTCCCCTCTTTGTCTGTCTTTATTATGAACATTTAAAAGCAATGAACAACCCATTGTTTCCATTAGCACAGCACCTCACAACACCACTGGAAGCTGAGTGAAAGCATGTGGGTGGCAGCGTAATACAAAGACATCTGTACCATATACACAACATGTCATGCCACCTACCAGGGGATGGTACACTTGGTGTCATATTTCTTGCCAGCAAGCTGCTCCACTTTGCGGATTCTTTCTGCCTGAATCTGATACAAGGTCTTGCCACTAGGCAACCCCACGTTGTACATCCCCTTGGGATAGGTCACCCCCAGGCGTGTTCCTTGCCCTCCAGCCAGGAGCAGCACTGCCACTTTATTCTGAGAGATCTGATGAAAACCTGGTTGGGACAGAAGTCACACAAGAGAAAAAGAAGAGAAGGAATGTGAAGATCAATAACCACTAAAATCACAGGCCCTTCTCATGTGCCTGGTCAACAAAGGGGCTCACACATAATATTCTCTCCAATTTTAGGTGAGGATGTTGAGGCAGCAAGAGACAACGGGTGTTCTCCAATGCTGTATGCAACTGTGCTTCTGGGCTGGCTGCCAGTATTGGGCACTGAAATAATGACCTCTGGATCCTACAAGAACGTTACAGAGCCAAAAGACCCAGCTCTTTAGCTAAGAGTGTAGCAGACGCTATCGATGACTGTGGCTTAGCAACCATGATGGATGGGAACAGATTACTAGTAAGTAGTGAGATTTATATGCACAGCAAAACCATTGCAAAGGGGAACACAAGCCAGAAGTCCTGAACCTGCATACTCCAATCAATAGACAAAAGCCACTCCCACAAAAATCCCAGTCTTTAAAAATTTGGAGAAAGATTTGATAGAAGTTCTTTCATTTACACTCTTTTTGAATGCACCCTGACTTCCCACTGACCAGAGCTACACTAGTTAATAGCAAGAGTCAAACATTTATGGCAGGCATTTCCTGTGAGATACTACTGGTGCGGCAACCTCAAGCATACAACTTCCAATATCAACTCAGTGAAAAGTGTTCAGTAGTGCCAATTGTTGATAATCAGCATGGTGGGTATTATGGTATTGGTGAGTACTATGATAGTGTGTTAGTCATCTCAGATCTGCAAGACTGCAAAAAGTCAAATCTTAATTTTTGACTCAGAAACACACATGGAACAAAGAGCACTGAACAAAATGCAGCACTTCTCACAGGGTCAATCCTCTGACAACTGTAACCCTTCCCCCTCAATCCCATCCAATCATCCCTCCAAACTGGTGATAAGGAGGAAAAGCCTATTGCCATCTCAATACCCTCCTCTGTGGTTTGAAGCTGGCCAGAGATTCAGCTTCCAACAATCAAAGCAATGGGACAGACTCCTGCCCAATATCATATAGCTGATGATATTAAAGGATGATACTAGGGAATCCCGGGGGTGCTTTAGGACTATGTCCAGCTCCTAACAACTCTCCTTATACCTTGCAGGGCTGTTGGGGAGGGTGACCGCTGAGTTGAGAGGAGTTAAGGGAAGGTAATGCTGCAGGGAACACATGCTTCAAGGGTTATAGGGCTCTAATCCACCATAGCAATAATATGTTCTTTGCTTAAATACATTGCTTCCAAGTTGGCAACTAATATCAAGTCAAATGCACTTTGGAAAGCCAATTACATGCTATCATTACACAGGCTGGTATCATTGTTCAGCGTGCTACAGTTAAAGGGACATTGGTCCAAGGGCCAGAACAAACATTTAGGCAGATGCTTCTTTTCCACACTGCCCAGGTCTGCAGAAATTGTGCAAAGTTTACAATACACTCTTATAAGGTTCAGCTACTTTGGGCATAAGTAAAAGTGGTAACCTCTAAATAGTACAGGACAGAAGTTAAAAAAAAAAAAAGTGCTGCCTCTCCCCAAGAGCAGAGGAGGGGAGATACAGCAGCTTTTTCACAAAGCTCAGCAGGCTCCCTTGTTATGGACCCCCTCCTTCCTGCCCTCGCTGCTGCTCTCCTTTTCAAGGTGGATCTATGGCAGGTTTCCTCACCTATCTGCTCTCTGAGCTACAGCAATCTATTCTAGGCAAACAGACAACACGGGGGTTGGCAGGATGCCAATAAAATCCTCAAACAAGTTACTAAAACCCTACTACTAGGGCTGTGCGAAGCTTCAGGTGCTGATTCGATTTGAAGGAGATTTGGCTCGATTCGGTGGTTGAATCTCTGAATCCGAATCGAATCAGGCAAAGATTCAGAGAGTTTTGATGATTCGGGCAGTCCCCGGTGGCTGCAGCAGGGAGCTGCTGCTGACTCCAAACTGGTAATTACTAGGGGTGGGGAAGGGGGAGCGGACCATGTGGGGACCCCTGCCAGCCCCCTGACGCCCCTTCTCCCCCAGACCCCCTCATGGCTGCCCCCACTGGCCCCAGCTCAGTACTTTAAAGAAAAGCTCCAGTGCTCACTGGGTGGTGCTGGGCGGGGGGGGGCAATCCCCACTGCTTCCCACTGCATGGGGGGCTCTGCACAAGCCCCCCAACCCCACCACTCCCTCCACAGGTGCCCTGTGCCCAGCGCCAACCCTTAAAGAAAAAAAAAAACAAGAAAAGCCCCTGGACTCACCACTCCTTCAGTGGCCTCGGGGCTTTGGGGGCTCATGCAGAGCCCCCCACCTGGTGCAGGGCAGCAGGGGGCAGCAGGGATCACCCCCCATGGGCAGGAGTGGCGAGTTCTGGTGATTTTCTTGGTATTTTTTTTTCTTAAAGGGCCAGGCGGGGCACCCATAGCGGGGCTGGGGAAGTGACAGGGGGGTGTCGGG